TCAACCCACAAATCTCATTTCCTTTTCCCAATGCCCTCCCCAGGTGGAGAAGAGGTATTGGGTGACACAGCAACTACAAACCACACCACTTCTCTCGGGGACAGGGGATGCTGGGCTGCAGTGCTGCACGTGGGGGCTGCTTCACCACACCAGGCACCAGCATCTACTTTTGTGTCCAGCTTAACCCCAAAACCGAGCAAAACCAGGGTAGTACCTGGTGGGTTGAGCTGCGCCGGGTGCTCCACGAGATTCGTGATCCCGAAGTACTCGTCTCTCTTTGAAGATGTGCCACCTTTTCTAGAAAGGAGAGAGTTTGGTGTCACTGCTAAACTCCCAGCCTGGACTCCTGCCTTCCCTCCAACACAGCCACGAAGAAAACAGTGCTGCCCTCGAGTGCCTGAGATGCACAAATCCCCACTGAAAGCACAGCCCACAGCTGGCAGCGCTGCAGGAGACACACAGTGATGAGGTATTCATGTGTAGGGGTCTCCCCAGCGTAATTCCCACACACATTTCATGGCTTGGAAGCAAACTTCCCACAGCTCCACTGGGAAAATGACTCGTGCAGAGTCATGCTTGAAAATAGAAAAACCAAACAAAAAAAAACCCCACAAAAACACACTACCAATGTTGGGCCAATAAAGTCCTTTAAACTCAACAGCAGTCGCCTCCTCAGTCGCGAGAGAAACATTGCTCCAAGATGGGAAAAGGGCAGTGCCCACCCCCGGCTGCAAGAGAGACCCTGGGAGCAGACCTGGAGCCCTCCTGGATCCGAGATGAGGGAGGAATCACCAACAGCTCCGTCCTGCCTGATCCACCCAGGGCTCCGCACATCACCACAGACCCCAAAAAGCTCCCCCAGTTTTCTCCTGGAGCACAACCACCAAACCTGGCCAGGAAAACACTCACAAGTCAAGGCCGTTGGGGATGATGTAGGAGTCCCACCACTCGATCTCGGGGATCTCCCCCTCTTTCAGCTCCTTCTTGGGGGTGATCAGAGCCAATTTGGTGGAGGTGTGGATCCCCGTCTTTCTGGCAGCCTGCGAAATCTCTGCCTGCAGCTTTTCCAGCTGAGCCTGAGAAGAAGCAGAGGAAAGCAGCACATGAAGTCAGTCCGAAAGAGCAGAGCCTTCAGGAAAAGTGCAATACGGATGCACCTACTGATTTCTTTACCCTTTAACAAACTGAAATGACCACAGAACCATGCGGCACACAGCAGTGCAGCGCTGCTGCAGAGGTTCACCAACGTGCCAAATACCTGGACTTACTACTGAGCCTTCCAGGAGCACGTGATGACCCCAAAGGCTCCCTAAACATCACGTCCCTGACTTTGCTGTCTAATGAAGCTATTCTCTCCCCTTCGCCCCAAGAACTCGAGCATTTTACCAAGATGCCTTTAAATCTTCACCTCTAGGGTGATCAGTTCTGCAGGAAGAGCACTCAGCCAGAACATGATCTGTTCTCTTTGGAAATGTTCAATATTTTATCAAAAAATAAAAGATTTTGTCTTTCCCCAAGTGAAGGCAGCTGTAAGAAAACGCTTTCCACGCGTGTTTTGATGTGGATGCCTGCCTTCCCAACAGGAGCAGTGCTGACAAGAAAGTTTCAGGTGATTTTACTGAGAAGCCTCTTACTCAAAGCCAACAGAGCCCCCTTCACACCCCAGGAGAGGAGAGGGGAGTCAACTCCTATCCCAACCAAGCCCTCACTTCCGTGTTGTCTGCCAGCACGGCAAGACCCCAAATACCTTTGTTCGCAACCTCTGGGCAATTTTCTCAAATTTGCCTTTTTCATGGAACTTAAAGGTGCGTTTCTGACGTTGGGCTGGGGTTATGGAGACGCGGGGGTCAAAGTAAGTGTTTGACTCCATATCTTCTGAGGGCTTTTCTTTCAGCTGCTGCTTGAACTGCTCTCTCTTCACAGCTCGGATGTTCGCTTTCAGGGTTGGCATGCGGTGAGTCAGCTCAATCTCTTTACCAGTCGCGTCAACCGTTCGGCCTTGCTCATCCAAGATCAGCGGCGTAGGCTTTGTCTGATCCTTCAGCTCCACTTTCCTGGTGGCAAGGCAAGATACACTGCATTAAAACACGAGTACAGCATTAATTCAAAGGAAACCTGAGAATTATTTCCACAGCAAGCACCAAACCAGCCCACAACTTGCTAAAGGCCTCCTCATAACATTAAAGTTCATCTATCCCAGCAGAAAGGACCCAAATCTCACGGGCAGAAGTCGGGGGCATTGTACTCAAGGAAGGGGCAACCGCCATATTTCACCTCTAATGTAAAATTTGTTCCTTCAGCAGCCGTCAAGGCCACTGCAGGGACCCAAATGTGGTGAGAAGCCCTGGGCCAACCCCTCCACGGCCATTCTGGGCACCGCTCGCCAGCACCGCGCAGCAGAGGTGGGTACTCACGGCGGTGCGATGCCCATGGCGTGCAGGTTGGCCAGCCCCACCATGTTGGCGTTCCCAATGAGCCCCGGCTTTAGGGCCAGCTGAGCCTGGATTCGGGCCTGCAGCTCCGCGGCTTTCCTGGCCTTCTCGATGGCATCGTTCATGAACGTCGCAGCCTGGGAGGGCTGGATCGTGTTGCCGATGGGAAGCCGTTCCGATTGGGACGAAGAAGAAATTTTTGGCTGTTGACAAAGAAATAAATTTTGTTACGTGCCTGTTCCAGCACATTTAAGTCAACGGGGACCACTGCATTTGCCCAATGCTCCCAGTAGGTACCTGTGGTGTTGGAGGACTGATAAAACTCAGCTGCTTTTTCCTCTCTTCAATCTGCCGGGTGGCCGCCTCCATCATCTGTTTGATCTGTGGATAGACCAGACAGTGAGTTTTTCTTCCCTTTATCAGAAGGAAACACCCATCTAACTGCATCCAAAGCAGCGTGGGCCAGGGGGGGATTCTGCCCCTCTGCTCT